ATAGGTTGTCTTGTGACCATTCTTTGAAAGATCCCAGAGAGTTTTGCTCGTTAAGAATTTACCGCATGGTACGATTAAGCAATTGCTTTCTGAAATTGTATTATTTCTGAAGTGAAACAGAACTAGATGAATAAAAGCAATATTATTGATTAAAGTTCTTAGCAGAAATCAAGAAGAATTTACAAAATGTCCTTATGTTGGCAATACATACGCACACATTTAATGAGTGAAGTGACAGAGTGTCTGATGTATGGGCTTTATTTGTAAATATTCCAGAAAAAAAAAAAATGGATGAAGGAGAAAGAAAATAAGATCAGCAAAATGTTGGTAATTTTTAAAGCTGAATGAGGAGTTTATTCTTCTGTTCTACTTTTGGGTATGTTTGTTCAATTTCTATAATAAGGGTGTTTTTTGTTTTTGTTTTTGTTTTAAGTTTAAAAAAGGAAGGAGAAAAAAAAATTAAATACTGAAGTTAAAAGATCTTTACATCTTCTGGGATATAACAAAAGTAGCTTTTTTCCTGTAACCAGTGTTAGCTTTTCTCACAGATTTGGTTGTCAAAGTTTAGGCCTCTGGGCTTTTCCATGGAACCAGGCATTGTCTAGGTCTTAGCACTGTGTGCAGAGAACTGAATGTATTTTTCCCTAATGTAATTAGTTATAGGAGTGTTTATGCTTTGGGGTAGCGGCACTACAGTTTCCTATCTTTTCTTTGGGGCATAATTATGAAAATTAGGAGTAGGGTTGGTCACAGGATACTCCTTCTGAAGGGCATTCATTTTGCCCCGATGGGATCCTCCTCTCCTCAACCCCCAGGGACTGCAGAGGTTCTGTGAGGTTTTTGCCTAGCTCTAGTGGTCCCCAAAAGGAAAATGTTACTTCCTTACGTAGCTATAGACCCCCTATTCCTTTGGGCCAGGGAGCAGCAAGGAGTCACCTAGCAAGGATCCTAGGGGGCGTGTAGCTTTCTTCCTGACATGAAGGTGAGCGTTGGCCAACTCCCCTTGACCACTGGTTGCACCACAGTTAGTTCTGTTCAGCAGAAATAAATTGTAAACTTGTTGACATTTTTGTCCTCTTTACAATGCATTGTTTATTTTTTCATGACTGAGAATTTTGATGCAATTATCACTGAGCTTTCTGACAAAAGGGAAATAGCTGAGGAATTTTGATGAGTTACCCACTTCATTAATCAGAACAAGCATCTCTAGTGACAGGGTTAGAATTACAATGAAGATTAGATAGCAAATTGCTGTTCCACCTAACGTCAATCACTCTCTGTGACAGCAGTGTGATTACACTTCAGGGAAGAGTTTTTCTTGCCAACAAAAGGAGGGCAACTCCAGTGCAGGTAATAAATTTAGCAGGGCGAGCTGTCATTTCTTCTCTTGAATGGAATCCTTAATGATCAAATGATGTCTTGTGGAAGATTTTGAGAGGAGAAGAGCATTTCCCTTAAAAACTTTCGAAATTTCACTTTATAGTATTTTATTTTATAAATTTTTAGAGATAATGTATTTAGGAACAGTTCTTCCCACCATGATTTTCAGAATTTCACTTACCTGTAGAAAACCTTAATTTTCACCACTACTATGTTAAAGTTAAAATCCATGACTCTTTGAAAATCTATCAGAAATAAAACATGGTGCAGAAATAAAGGAACTGGTTAAGAAAGGGAGGGAGGTCAGCCTAGTCATCCAGCTAGTTAAAACATTAAATTCTGGGGGCGCCTGGGTGGCTCAGTGGGTTAAAGCCTCTGCCTTTGGCTCAGGTCATGATCCCAGGGTCCTGGGATCGAGCCCCGCATCGGGCTCTCTGCTCAGCGGGGAGCCTGCTTCCCTTCCTCTCTCTGCCTGCCTCTCTGCCTACTTGTGATCGCTCTCTGTCAAATAAACAAATAAAATCTAAAAAAATAAAAAATAAAAAAATAAATAAAACATTAAATTCTGAAACAAAACTTATTAATTAGAATGTATTAAACAGAGTGTATTCCTCTTCCAACCCGATTATGCTATTAAATAATAATTCTTTTTTCAGAGAGCAAAAGGATAGAACACGGTTGTCACTCCAGAGCACAGTATTGAAGAGGAGAAGCAGGCCTGGGAACAGCAGGGACTCAGCTGGGGGGAGAGGTAATAGAAGGAATAAATAGCTCATGACTATGGAAGTGTGCCACTTCTCATCCCTTCTAAATAAAAGCAGAGTGCTGGCATCTTCCAGAGAAGACAGGACTGAGAATATTCTCCTTTCCCAAATATTTTCCTGTAGCCACATTTATGGGACTCCCGTTTGCCTGAATAACGTTTGCTATGAGTCAAGAATAACTAAGTGGCTATTCTTGGTTCATACTTGTATTTTTTCATTTAAATTTTAATGGGATTGCTCTTTTGAATAGACAGGAAAAAACCAGTAAGTTGATTTCAAGAAAGCAGTTGCTGTGAGTCTGTCACTTTGCTGTTACCACCTTCTACGTAGTAAAACTGAATTACAGACCTTTAAAACTGATCATTTCCCTTTCAAAATCCAAACATAACTTTTTAAAGAAATATGTTGATTATAGCATTTATGAACTCAAATTTTCCCCTCTTAAATTCAGTTTTACTCTAGAGGTACTCTTCTACCATGTTGGTTATGTACTGACTTCTTTCTCTTTCAGTATAAAAGAAACAAAGATTTTGCCCTTCGTTCTTAGGAGACTTTTTGCCTAATAGTTTGGGTCATCAGGATGCCAGAATGTTTTGGTTTTAGCCTTAGGTGTACCACTAACTTTTCACTCTGAATTTAGTCATTAACCCTTCTCTACATGAAGTTCAGCTTGGTAAGGAAATCATAGTAATACCTGCAGTCTTTCTAATGATGGTCTATGAATTAATAAAATCCATTTAAGGGCGCCTGGGTGGCTCAGTGGGTTAAAGACTCTGCCTTCGGCTCAGGTCATGATCTCAGGGTCCTGGGATCTAGCCCCGCATCGGGCTCCCTGCTCAGCGGGGAGCCTGCTTCCTCCTCTCTCTCTGCCTGCCTCTCTGCCTACTTGTGATTTCTCTCTCAAGTAAATAAATAAAATCTTTTTAAAAAATGCGTATAATATTGTGCTTACAGTAATGCCTTGAACTTAATAGACAAGGAATGTAGAAATCCAAGAAGCACACTATTAATAGTGTTATTATTGTCTAGGTGGATTATGTTTATACTATTTCATCATTAGATATATTTTAGGAGTTAAAATTAGAGATAGCTGTACATCAAGAGGAGTCTCTTAAATGAATTTGGTAGACAGAGGATATTTTCTTTTGACAATGGCACACAAGTTAACAGTATATTTTTTCATGCTGTATTTTGTGGGTTAGACTGGCAAATAATAATGCAAAAACTCAACCTGGTAACTATGTGTATGTGTCTTTTCCTTTTTATGACTGCAGGCATAACCTGTATTCAGCAAATCTCCCTTCCTTCCTCCGTCTCTTCTCTTCTTCCCTTACTTCCAGGGGATCTAAGGTGAAGGTCTAGACATGATGGAAAGGGAGTGAGAGCTTTTTAAAGTTTGCCATGGTTTCTCCTGATAAATAATAATAAAGATTTTGTAATTTGTCTAAATGGAAATAGACCTGAATTCTTGTGTAAGAAAACATTGCTAGCCAAATGGGCTGTTTCTAAGAATTCTAACATATGCTCCCTTAGGTTATTAGTCTTTTAATTTATTTGCCCTCTTTCCCTACAACCTCTCAAAAGAGAGATTATATCTTAATTTTGTTCAGAGTTCCCCAATTTAAACCCAGTGGTGGCTGCTTACTAGTTGTTGAAATAGTGAAAGGTAAGTGTTGTTACACAGATAGAAGCAGTTAATACACTGACCCCAGGAAAGCTAGCAAGTGCTTGAAGCTGGTCATCAGGTCCCCCTCTGCCTCCCACAAAGTCACTTACTCTGAGGTTCTTTTCTGTTGTATTGCTACCGACACTTGGTACAACTCTCAGATTTTCCATTTTCATTCATGGGACTCAGTGCCCTCCGTCTGGAGGCTCACAGTCTAGTGGAAACCAGTAAACCAGGTAGTTATAGTACAGTGTAATGAGTGTTTTGATGGAAAAAAGCAGAGGTTGCTCTGGGAACACAGAAGAAGGATGCTTATATTTGGGGAGAGTGGTTGGTAACAGGAGAACTTCCAGAGAGAAGTGAGTCCTGAAGTAGTCAGTCAAAGAAAGGGCAGAAAAGGGGGACTAAGAAATTAGTATGAACGTAGGAAAGTGTTAAACAGTGTGGTTGATGTAAGGCCAAGAGCTGAAAATTACGGGATGTAGTGGGGACATGAAGTTTACTGTGAAGGTTGGAGATGTAGGCATGGGCTAGATCTCAGAGATTTTCTTAGACTAGGACCATGAATAAAATACTTCTCTGGGGACATCCTCAGGCTCAGTGGAACTTACTGTCAGATGCACATCATGGAAGATTCCAGACATCCCAAGCAGCTGGTCTCTAGGCACTCACCAAAGCTCTCTCATGGTCAGTGGTTGCTCAGCTGAAGCTATCTTGTTTCCAGGGACCAGAGACCCCCATTCTGTCCTCCAGGGGGTCTTCCAGATTCCTTTGTGCAGGACATCAGCAGTGTTAATAATAGGAATGAATTAATCAGTTGGTATTTTAAACTCTAAGACAAGCTGGCAATCTTACTGGAAGCAGTTGTTTCAAGCTTTTCAAACAAGTACCTGAACTTGAGTCTTAGATGTGACTGTTACTCAGGCTCCCCATAGGACTGATGCTTTACAGGGAGAACTAAGTATTAGAGTTTAAGTCATGAGCCTGAGAGTACCTCACCTGCATGACTTGAATATTTGTTGTCATTATTAGCATAAAGCAGTTGTACTTTGTTCCCTTCCATCAAGACAGCAGTTCCTAGATTTGCAAGAAAAAGTGTGAGGGGGGAATCTGAGGTGACAGCTCTCGGTATTAGATATTAGAGACACGAGTGCTCATCAGTGGTGATTTTCCACATATTTCTGTTGCAGTGTCAAAAACGATATTTCTCTGCCTGGCACAAGCTGATTCTTGATCATAGGATTAAGCTGGGAAAAGCTGGGACCCTGTCCGACTGGAAGTTTCAACTGAAGGTCCTGAGGGCCTGGAGAGACTACACCAGATCCCAGAAGTTGGCACGGGAGACTGAAGCCATGCAGAACGACCTTAGGGAAGAAAACAGGTACTGTTATTTGTATCATGAAAACCCTGGTGTGTTTAGGGCATTTTTCCTCATGAAGAATTCTGAAATAAGCTCTAAAAAGTAGATCATCCATTATAAAATGTGGTTATTGCTAGGTTTTTTCTTCCCTCTAGAAAAAAGCTAGAAAATTTTAACTGAAATTTGTAAGTGAAAAACATTTAATTAAAATATGCTAATGTCCATGCTTTCCTTTTTGACGGAAGCAAGTATTATTCTTTTTCCCTGGTCCTCTGATGTCACAGCATTGCACCTTGGGCCATCTTACAATTCAGAAGACAGAGTTTGGTTTATACACCAGTAATTCTCATTGATAGAAATCCCTGTCTACACACAGAATGTTAATTAGGGACACAGGGAACACCCATCTGGGAAGGCAGACCTGCCAAGGTAATTCTTCCCACTCCTCCATCTTTTGTTCCACACCCTGTTTAGAGGTTTTGATACCTTTATATCGGCTCCCTCTTACGCTTGTGAATGACAGAATTTGTCTTCAAATAAAACTTGCTTTGTCCCAGCATCTTAAAATTAAATACATTTTCTTCTTTTCATTTCCAAGTTCAACTTTGCACCCTTGAACCAAAATCATGGCTTTAAAAGGAACCATTTGTTTATTTGGGGGTGGGGACAGTTTATGTTCTTGTGTGTGATCACTTCTCTCACTGGCAACTCTGTTAGCCATTCAGGGTGAAACTTGAATGAATGGTATGTGAAATCATTGTTATGTAGAGGGAAATAGTGCCCCCTAGAGTTGTGCAACCCTGTGACAGCATCTGGCCCCGGGGTGGATACACAGGAGCCTGACGCATAGCCTCACAGTTCTGTAGGGGAGACAAGATCTAGAAACGGGACAAGTGCTGAGCAGCATCATAAACTGCACAGTGTGTCCCCTGTGCCACTGAGAATTTAGCAGAACAGAGTGTCACAGGGACTGGGGAGGCTCCTACAGAGTGCCAGGAAGGGCTTCATCAGGAAGGTAGGTCGTGAACTGGACTCCTTACCACAAGTAGATCACGCCTAGATGGGGACAGGGAGATGAGGAAATGGCATGTGGTGTAGCCATCCAGGTGGGCTGGAGATCATCAAGTATGTGGTTCTCAAGTTCATCAACTTGTAAAAGCCCTTGAATGCCAAGACAAGTTTAGGGATTCTTTGTTAAATAAAGGTGAATCTTTGACAGATTTTAAACAGAAGGATGACTTAGCTTCCCTTTCTTTACAGTATGCTGGGGGGATCTTCATTGGAGTGGGAGGAGGGGGAAGGCAACATAGAAAACTCTTTCCCATAATTTTTTCTAAGTTCTCAGTATCCAGTGATTGATAAAAGGAATTAGGATGATAGCCTACTGATACATGAATGGCTAGCAGGGTTTGCTGGGTAAAAGAGGGAAACTGGAGGGAAACTAAAGGGGAAGCAACATGAGTGAGGGCCTGAAGGGAGTAGAAACTTAGTAAGGAAGTTAAAAGTGTCCTGTGAGGGGCACCTGGGTGGCTCAGTGGGTTAAGCCTCTGCCTTCAGCTCAGGTCATGATCCCAGGGTCCTGGGATCAAGCCCCGCATCGGGCTCCCTGCTCAGCGGGGAGCCTACTTCTCCCTTTCCCTCTGTTGCTTTGCCTGCTTGTGCTCTCTCATTCGTTCTGTCAAATAAATAAATAAAATCTTTAAAAAAAAAAAAGTGTCCTGTGAAATTTACATGCCAGAAGAAACTTGTGGAAGAAAAATCTGAAGAACTTGAGATTTAATTCCAATTAAACTGTTTAAATATAAAAATCACTAAATGGGGATTTCATAATAGCATGATGTGCCAATTTTTTTAAAGATCTTAGAACTTTTTGTCTCGTATCTTTGAATTATTTTCAGATGTCTATTTTTAAATGTTCAGAATGGGTACTACATTTTTTTAAGTGCCAGAGTTAGAAAACACATAATAATTTTTTTACTACAAACTTTAGAGCAAAAAAATCTTAGAGTAGGAAGTCACCTCAAGGATCGTCTTATCCTGCCCATCATTTTATAGATGTTAATAGAAAGGCCTAGAGAGAGTAAACGACTCTCTCAAGGTCTTGAAGGTAAGAGTAGTTAATCCAAGACTAGAGTCTGGTTTTTTGATTCTGAGTCAGATGCTTTTTCCTATACCACCCTTGCTTCTGTGTTAAATGTTAAATTGCATCTAGGTGCTAAGACAGCCATATTTTTCAGTTCTATGGCAATTTACTTTAGATGGTTGCAGATGAAAAATAAAGCAGTAGTTAAAAGATAAGTCATGCTAGAAACGAGAAGAAAGGAGCTATTAAATACAAACGATCCTTTGTGCTGCTTTCCTACAAATCCCTGGCTCCTCTGAATGTTTTTCTTGGTTCTAGAAATTAAGTTGGGTGTTTTTGTTCAAAGAGGTTGGGATATTAAAGGTGGGGAAAAAACTCAGGAGTAGATCCTATGAGCAGAAACCAAGAAATGTCAGTGGGATTGAGCATGACTAGAGAGTCTCTTTTCTGTGTTCATCAGAGTTTCTCCTTGAACCTCACTGGGCACCAAATATATATTTGTTGAATAATAAGTGAGTCAGTGAGTGAATGAGCTGTGGCTTATCCACCCAGACATGGAAATCATGTGCTGTGCCCATGACTCAGATGTCAGCTATGTCCTCATCCTTCAGCTCCTGATCCCCATTTGTTTTTGACACCTAGAGTTTCCCCCCACTGGCCTGTCCCCTGTTCAGGGTCCAGCTTTCCTGGCTTGTTTCTTCCTTTCTTTCTTTCTTTCTTTCTTCTCTTTCTCTTTCTCTTTCTCTTTCTCTTTCTCTTTCTCTTTCTCTCTCTCTTATATTTTTATCTATCTCTTTTCTTTTAAAAGTAGCTATGGAAGTGGTATTATAAAATTCCAGTACCATATCATAATACAATCTCAACATTAACAAATATTCCCATATCCTGAAAATTCACTTGCTTAGACAATACAACAGAAACCTGGTGCACACACGAAGTTAGGCCCCTTGATCCTCTCTCCCTTCCTCTCTTACATTTATGGCCGCCAGCCCTGGACAAAACTAGGAAGAAGCAGGGCTTATTTTCAGCATCCTCCACCAGCCCTTCCTGAGCCCCTGTTTTCTCAGTTCTCACCTGAGAAGCACCTCTGTCCTTCCCTTACTAACCTCCACATTGCCTGCAGTCCTTCCCTCTCTTGCACCAGAGTTCTGTGCCTTTCCTAGAGTATGCTTTTATCTCTTCCCTTTGTCCCTCAAGTTCTTCATACTTTTTTACTGTGACCCTCAATTGATGTTATCCCTCTCAGGAAACTTCTTACACTTTCACAGGTGTTGTCTGGAAACAGTGCCCAAAATGTCAGTGATGGGGATATGAGGCCTTGAGGGTCCTGTGGCCAACCGATGGACAGACGGGCTCTTTGGCTTCCCTCGAACCATAGCATTCATTTGTTCACTCATTTTTTCATTCCATTTGATAGACTTTATTCTTTCAGCCAATCAGCTTTACTGACGTTTACTGGGCACTAGGCTCTCTCCTAAGTACAGGAAAGGGGACTTGGAAAAAAAGTGTTAAACGCTTACCTTCTAGGAGTTTTCAGTCTAAGTGAAGTGAAAAATGGTACCCAAACACTAAAAATAATTGCAACAGAAGGCACCACAAGAAAAATACTTAGGAGTGACATAGACTTGGCTATCGTACATTATAATCCCCCGAGGAGCTTTTTAAAAATAGGAATTCATGGGCCCCATCTTCTGAGCGAGAAGTGTGGCTAAGTAGGAGGGGGCGTTTTTTAATTTGGGGAAAAAACTGGTAAACCAGCTCATAGCCAGCTTGTGGGAGAGCAGGCTGGGGTGAGCCCACATGCTAGCCTAGAGGTAGGGAGGCTGAGCTGAAAATAGACTGTCAGGTATCCCCATATCCCCACACCTCATTTTAGCATTCTTTTGGGCAATCACTTATGGAGCCCCTCTGCATATCATGTTCGGTGCTCTTCCCTCCATATTCGCCTGGGTATCCAGGCGAGAGGCCAGAAACTGCATGGCATCCGAAGCTGGTAAAGCTCCTCATAGGTCTGTCAGACAGGCAGGGGGCCCACACTCGCACTGCCTGGCTTGCTTTAAAACTCTTTCAGACAGGGGCACCTGGGTGGCTCAGTGGGTTAAAGCCTCTGCCTTTGGCTCAGGTCATGATCCATGATCCTGGGATCGAGCCCCGCATTGGGCTCTCTGCTCAGCGGGGAGCCTGCTTCCTCCTCTCTCTCTGCCTGCCTCTCTGCCTACTTGTGATCTCTGTCAAATAAATAAAATATTAAAAAAAAAAAAAAAAAACTCTTTCAGACAGAATCATTGTCAGCTTCCACTCTTTCCCTGGGGGCTACCTGGTGCATTATTGAATGCATTAGCTTATCCATCCCCATTCCTGCTCATCCCAAATGCAGCTGTTCGCACCATTGCTGTTTTCGTGTTCTGCGTCAGATTTTAGCACTCAATCCAATCACGTTGTGTGTGGTTATTTATTTATCATTTCTCATTTCCTTTTAAAAAATTCAAAACACTTTTTAGATATCTAGTGGTCTTCTCCTAAGAGAGTGTTAACTTCCATGAGTTTGTTCTATATATTCAGGTGTGTGTGTGTGTGTGTGTGTGTGTGTGTGTGTTTTCAATTAGATCTTAAAAAAAAAATTCTGTAGGACAGGCAATGTAGGTTTTGTTGTTTTTTAGGGTGACACTATTTTTAGGAGGAAACTGAGGCTTAGAAACTTCCAGGGGCTTATCTAGTGTCCCCTGTCTCGTTAGTATTCTTCTGACTTAGGTTCTAGAACATGCGCTGATCAGTAAGCATCATTTGAGGTGTTGATTCTGAACAGCACAGTTCATATTTAAATTCCTATTTAAACCTTTATATTTTATATTCTTAGGTGTGAAATAATAGAAGATATATATTGGTCTCTGCCCCTGGTTCCTGAACAGATCTCCTAAAACCCATGTAATTTCCTAAGTGATAAGAGTACTAGGAACATCTCTTGTTCTAATATTGATCTTTGACCTGTGTTCCTGACACAGAACTCTTGAAACCCTTGTAATTTCCTGAGTGATAGGAGTGTCTTTTGTTGTAATGAGATAGCTCTGGTTTGGCTCCTGGATGGCTCTTGGTTGAGGGTTGGTCCCTGGAAAGACCAAGCCATGAGCAGAAACTTGGAATTTTGGGCCTTGTCCCCCATTCTCTTGAAAAAGAAAAAAGGCTTAAATGGAGTTAACATCAACCATAGCTACATGATGAAGCCTCCATAAAATCCCAAAAGTACGGCGTTCAAGGAACTTCCAGGCAGCTGAACACATCCACATTGACACTCCAAATACATGGGGACAGAAGCTCTTGTCCTCAGGATCCCCCCAGACTTCACTTTATGTATCTCTTTATCTGGCTTTTCATCTGTATCCTTCATCATATCCTTCAATAAACTGGTCAACCTAAATGTTTCCCTGAGTTGTGTGAGCTACTCTAGTAAATTAATCAAACCCAAGGATGGGGTGGTTGGAACCTCTGTTCTATAACCAATTGATCAGAAGCACAGGTGATAGATAACCTGGGTTTGTGACTGACATCTGAAGCTGGGGGATGAGGGGAGAAGGGAGAGTCTTATGGGACTGAGCCTTTAACCTGTGGGATCTGACACTGTCTTTGGGGTAGGTAGTATCAGAACTGAGTTGAGTTCTTGGATACCCTGCTCTGTGTCCAAGAGTTGCTTGTTGGCCTGGGGAAAAACTTCTAGACATTTGGTGACTGTAGTGCCAGAAATGAGGTGTTCTCTGAAAAGGTAAAGGAGACAAACACAGGAGACAAACACAGTGGGGAAAAACCAGGTTTTTCCTTGAAGAGGAAAGAAAATGGAGTTTTTTCCATCATATTTGGTCTTTAGGGACAGCCTTTCTGTGCATGCAGTTATGTAACTATGATGATCAATTTATATACTCTTGCTAGAAATTCCCAGATTTCAGCTTGGAAGCATGTTTTCCTTAAGGGAACTCTGTCCTTCATTTTATGATTATCTGGGAACTGCATCTGAAACCATTTCTTTTGGTTAGCTTACCTAAGTACTGCATCAGATTGAGGTTTTAGGAAGTTTAAGTAATTTTTCACTTTCAGAAATATTTATATTTTTAGTGTCATCTTTTTAAAAGTATGGAAGTTAGCTTATTTGGAATATTATCCCTCTGTTGAAGTGAACTGCAGAGGAAAGGAATAAAACCAGCCTTGCGTCTGGATCCCTAGCTTCTGCATTTCTGCTCTTCCATTTCAATGCACAAATGTAGAGGTCTTAAATACATTTTGAAATCCCCTACATAACCACTATAGCGTGGGCTCTAAGCACTTTGGTCAGCATGCAGTTTTTACCCATTTTCTTACTGTTTAGTCTTTTTGTGATAGTTGCAGAAATATTTTTCTCTTTGTCTTTTTATACTGTCCAAATAATCTCTTCCATGACAGTTGCTTACCCTAGTGCTGCTTTTGGCTGTTTATGCTCTAAAAACATGAAATTAACACATCAGGTAAATTTCACACTCCCCCTTCCTGAGCAGATTGATGTAAATTGAATTTCACATTAATCAGACAGAGCAGAATATATCTTCTATCCAGTGGAAATTTATGATCTTCACTCAAGAAAAGTGCTATAGGCTTTTTACTTGTTTCACTATTTAAACATTGATGTTTTGGAGCTTTTTTCTTACCTGGATTGCTACCTGATTTGTTATCCTTATTTCCTCTAAAATTTGTATTTTAAAGTTATTCAGTCCCATATTAGATAATTTATTTCCATGAAATTAAATTCGACGTATAAATATTACCACCTATATTGTACTTTTATTACAAAAACATCAATCAAGTATTAATTGAGTACCTGTCATTAATACAGTAGAGGGAAGCAATTAAATACAATGAAATACACTGTTGGCAGAGTTGTTGTTAGTGTTTATCCTGAATTTCACTATTTCAGTTGACTCTACTCTCACTGATTGGTTGTTTCATCCAACTCCTCTGACATAGGTTAAATTCTGTGACTTTAGAGTAGTCTTTTTCAAATCAAGGGTTTTAACTCATTCATGGGTCCTGAAATCAGGCCCTAGGTGAGCTGTATTTTTCAAAGAAAAGGAATGGAACAGAAATGCCAGAATGCTCCTCTGGTAGTAAGGGTAGATATTGTTTAGTGAAACATCTGTTCCAAGTATATATACTTTTGTTGCATACGCACATACATATATACTTAAACTTGTATATTGTGTCACAGTGTAACATTTTTCTTACTGTAGGTGCCAGTCAAAAAAGATTTAAATCACTTAGGCATTTAAGAACTCTAGAAATGTTCTCCTGACTCATTGACTTAAGAACTTTATGATTTTTTTAATATATATAACCCCAAAGAGTCCATGAGGAGAGCTAAGCATTATGGATGTTTAACAGAAATGGGTATGCAAATAGTATTATAGAGAACTTATTTGAATCACCTTTACAAAATGACATCAAGTAGGTTTCTAAACAATAGTAGATTTTAAACCTCCAAACTGACCCCTGATGCAATATAATAAGTTCTAAACTCTACACCTTACTTCTTCAGGGGTAATAATCATCCACTTGTAGATAGAACTCAGAGACCTCCATGCCTAAATTCTCAACTGGCCACCACAAAAATGTCTCCTAATGGAGATCCTCTTTGGGAAGGAAGGTAGCAAGAAGTTCCCAGCTCCACTCAGTGATGTCCCATAATAGCACAAAGTTTCCAGGAATCAAAAGGAGCTCTTCCTTATGAAGAGAATAAACCAGACCCGCTACTGGACTGTGAATGAGTTCAAGGAGAGCAAGAGCTTTGTCTTTGACATGTGTTTCACACATTTCTGGTGTTGAGCAGGTATCCTTCATTCATTCAGTTTAAGGGTTTGATAAATGAATCCTTCTCTTTAGAGACCCTGTCTCTGATTACATCCTTCTTTCATAAGAGCCACACTCATTGACTTTATATAAGCCTTATACTTAATTTATTATTGACAGTTCACTTGTTCTATCTTCTTCCACTCCCTTTCTTCCAAACCTCTGTCTTCCTTAGATTTGCAAGCATGGCTGAAATTTCCTTCACGCATTCATCGTTTTAAAAGTGGTTATTTATATGCCTATTTTTTTTGCTTCTTCCCCTCCATAAGCACTCTATTTTATGGTAATTTAAAAAATGTAATATGCCTCTGGATGTGATAGAACTCTTTCTTCTGAGGCAATCTCTTAAGGTGCCAACATCCTCTACAAGCAGACCTTTTGTACCAGGGAGTTTGATAAAGTGATTCCATTTAACTTAAATAAAAGGATACGATGCATCTAAGATGGAACATTTCTGGGACACTTTTAGACTTGTGTTTCATGTATATTATCAACTAATAAGCTGTAAATAGCTTCTTCTTATTAACGGCAAATACTTTGTTGCTTAGAAAACAACAACTGGCCACTGAGTGTAACCGGAAACAGGTTCTCCGACACCACTTTACAGAATGGCAGCGTTGGCACCGTGCGGAGATCCTGAAGAGGGAGCTGGCTCTAGCAAAAGAGGAAACTAGGAAGAAAATGAATGAGCTGCTGGAGGCAGCCTCACGAGGGAAGCTCAGCACCAAGGGGTCATCAGGCATCAGTCTACTTGAGGAGGCAGCAGCTGTGGTGGATCCAGCTGTAAGACATGGAGAGGTACATTGTTTTTGCTTGGTCTTCTGCTTATTAAACAGTGGCATTTGAGCTCTGCCCTTGTGTAGCCTGGGTTATGTTAGCTGCCGTCAGATTGCCTTCCCCAGACTGTCTAGAGGGTGTGTGAGCTGTGTACGGTGTACAGAGGTTACCTTTCAGTCAGTGTTTATTTTCTTGAACCGAATCTTCTTTTTATATATCACATACAAACTTTGGTATACTTGAGACTTAGTAGGGACATAATATAGAGAAGGAATTGAAAACAACTAAGTGAAAGACTCCTTCAGGAATAGTTATATAAAGCATTGTTTATAACTCTGGAACTCCTCATACTTGATCATCAGACATTTCCTATCTAAATGAGCTTGTGATACACACACACACACACACACACATACACGTACATACATACATATGGGAAATTTTTCAGTTTTTATTTTTCTAATAAGAAAAATCGTATGTGTTAATTATGGTAATTTGATAGGAGAAAATGACAGAGAAAAGGCAAAGTAGCCTATAATTCCGTCATCTGGAGATAACCACCAGTAACATGTTGGATAGCTGTATAGTCTTTTCTCTATTCAGGCATATGCAAATTTTTCTCCTTAATATTTTATTTAGCTTTTAAATGTTCTTCAGCCAAGTTATTGAGGATACCTGCTTTTTCACAATACATAATACAGAGGAAATAAGGCCATTTTTTCCCTAATAACAATTTAACTGTTCTGTTTTTCTAAAAAAAAAAAAAAAAGTTGCAGTTTCACAATATATAACATGAGGATTTTCTCTGTCACTAAATCTACTGCTGCAACATTAGTTCTCAGCTGACAGTAAACCACAGATCAGACCTGCTCAGTCAGAATTTCTGGTTGTGGGGTACCTGTATTATTTTTTTTTAACTTTCACAGGTGAACCTGATGAAATCCCAGTGATTAAGGACTGCTATTCAGTGCCATCATTTTGTAGTGGCTCTCAGATATTCAGTCATGAACCCTAAGCTAGAATCTGTTTACCTTTTTCTGTATTGCTGGACATTTAAGTTGTTTCCAGTTTGTCACTATTGTAAACAGTGCTTCAGTGATCATCCTTGTAACAAAATCTTTGCACAATCCACTTTTACTTAAATGCTTTATTTAGGATATAAAAAATAGAATATTTTTATATTATTATATTTATCTTATTTTTATTATATTTTATAATAATAAATATTCTAAAAATAGAATGCACATTTTAAAAACTATTGCCAAATTGCCTTTCTAGAAAGGCTGTCAAAGAAATGCCTATTTTCCTGTCTTGTAACACATTTTCATTTTTGTTAAGTTGATAGTAAAATATTTTCATCTTATTATTGCTTCAGTATTTATATTTTTTTATTACTAGTGAGGTTAAACATTTTCTGTAATGGCCATTTACATATATATGTATGTGAAAATGGATATAGAAAGATAGATATTTAATAACTTGTCTATTCATGCCCTTATACATTTTTCTACTTTTTCATATTTATAGGAGCTCTTTATATTTTTAAGACTACTGGTGTTTTTATTACTATATATTTTGCAAAATTTTTTTTCATTTTTTCATTTGTCTTTTTGGGTAATTTTTGGTGTTTTGGTACTATACAGAGTCTCAGTTTTCATAAAGTGAATCCTATCAATTTTTTATTTCATAATTGCACTTGTCATATTTGAAAAGTCCTTTGGAGAAAATCTTCTACCCCCTCACCTTCATCCCAGACCCCTCCACCTAATGCTACTGAGTATTTAACTCAGACATATAAAATTACGTTGGGTACCAGAGGGGCCTCAGTCTTGCTTTTTACCCTGATTACTCCCAGCAAGTAGGCTGGTATGTATGTATGTATGTATGTATGTATGTATTATTTTATTTTATTTCTTTTCAGTGTTCCAGAATTCATTGTTTATGCACCACACTCAGGCTGGTTTTAATTTAAGCGTAGGGTCTCAGCAAAGGGGTATCATGAGGATCCTTATTGAGACTTGGGTCCTCTAGGCAATTTATCTGCCTTTATGTCAGTTAGATAATTTTGTTTCCATTAAGACCCCCAGAGTCTCCATCTTAAGAAATAGCTATCTGAACCTTTTACTTTGCAGAGTTACACTGTTGTTATCTGTAAATTTTTGAAAAGTCAACAAAGTATTTTTATATGCATAAAACACAAAAATTACTATGTGTATATATAGGACTCAAATAAAAGCCTTTAAATCTCTGAACAGAATTTTATCAAGAAAGGATAGCATAAAAAATCGAGCAAGTGAAAATAAAAGGACGTAATAGACTCTCTAGTTTATTAGATAAACCGTAATTTTTTCCAGAGCGTAGAGTGTAACATGAACAAATAAAATACGGTATCTTTAGTTAGATGCCCACTAATTATACAGTCATAGGGACTCGTGTACCACAAATGCATGCATTATACCTTGAAAATTTTCAAAATTATCAGTTAGCTAATAGATGACTTTCACTCATTATGCCAGACTGTTCAGTCCTGTACTAGTAAGTACAGTCTGTACCATTAAGCTTTGTTTCATTCTCTTATTTTCACCTTGAAAAGTTACTGTGATCCAAAAGAAATTGTTTTGCTATACTCAAGGCTTTTACAGTCTTTCTGGGTTAATAATGTACCATTATCACAAAGTTTAAAAGGGTCTAAAACATATACCCTGCTTGATGCTAAATTACTTAAGCAGGTGTTCTTATGAATAAATGTCCATTGACATTTCTGCAATAGAAGGTTATTTTTTAGTCTTTAGCATGTCAGAGTTTCCATATATCACTTTTTTCACTCCGGCTGAGTCTATAGGAAATATTTCCATCATCATGAAAAATATTTTTGAGTACCTTAGAGCAAGAAGCTTCTAAGAAACAAGTAGTCCATAGTATCTTTCTCCTTGTACCACTACAGATGGCAGAATCAAAAGCTGGTCAGACCTTAGGCCATGGAATCAAATCATTCTAGAAGAGACGTTTTAACTATGCATTATTTTGGCCAGGAGGTGTTTTTCCAATTAAGAATTCTGTTTCCGGGGCGCCTGGGTGGCTCAGTGGGTTAAACCGCTGCCTTCGGCTCGGGTCATGATCTCAGGGTCCTGGGATCGAGTCCCGCATCGGGCTCTCTGCTCAGCAGGGAGCCTGCTTCCCCCGCCCCCCGCCCTTCCTCTCTCTCTGCCTGCCTCTCTGCCTACTTGTGATCTCTCTCTGTCAAATAAATAAATAAAAATCTTTAAAAAAAAAAAAAAGAATTCTGTTTCCTCCCCCTCTATATAGAACTTAAAATTGGGTATGATACCTCAGTCGATTAAAGGAGATCCATTACAGGATAAAGCTTTTATTTATTTTTTAACTATTTTTTTTATTAACATATAATGTATTATTAGCCCCAGGGGTACAAGTCTGTGAATTGTCAGGTTCACACACTCCGCAGCACTCACCACAGCACATACCTTCCCCAATGTCCATAACCCCACCACCCTCTCCCTGCCCCCCTCCCTCCAGCAACCCTCAGTTTGTTTTGTGAGATTAGTCTTTTATGGTTTGTCTCCCTCCTGATCCCATCTAGTTTCATTTATTCTATTCCTACCCCCCCATACCCTCCACGTTGCATCTCCACTTCCTTATATCAGGGAGATCATATGATAGTTGTCTTTCTCCAATTGCCTTATTTCCCTAAGCATAATACCCTCTAGTTCCATCCATGTCATCGCAAATGGCAAGATTTCATTTCTTTTGATGGCTGCATAGTATTCCATTATATATATATATATATATATATATATATACTACATCTTCTTAGGATAAAGCTTTTAAATCTATTCAGCCGTATGCTAAAATATAATATTATTGATAATATTCTTATGTAATACAGATATTTGCCCGGTAATACTGGGCTTACAGATATTCCCCACAGATAGCCTGGCAATAGTCTGGAGATTGTAAACTGTAATCCATGCTTTGATCCTGAGAATGAATGAATGAATGAATGAGTGAATAATACATACATACATACGCTGTGATTAAGTTATTAGTGGCAAGAGAAGCATTGAGAGAACAGAGCTGTTATTGATTTGTAAAGGTATTTGGTAGTTTTCAAACATTCTTGAGGGAGAATATGTCCTTTGCCACAAAATTCAGAGTTAATTCATGCAGATAGAAGTTCCTGTAATATATATCTGGAGTAATCCTGCCTCATTCACAAATGAACTGTCCAAATCAGAAATTTCTGAGTACAGTTTTCTTATTGCAAATGGCCTGGCCCATGGCAAAGGCCTGTACACTGCAGCCACTCGCCCACACAGGTTCTGTGGTGAGCAGCAGCCCACACTCTGAGAATAGCTTACAGAGCTAAGGCTGGTAGCCTCTGAGATAGCCAGGCCTGGAGCACAGGCCAGTTGCACCATTGAACCAAACAAGGCTGATTAGATGATGTGAGATCTCGTCAACGCAGTCCTTTAAACAGCTAAAGTATAACGTGCTCCCTCTCTCTCAGGTGACTGCTGGGCCACCTCTGTGGGAAAAGCCTCCCTCAGGGAGCCATGATTGCATGCCCAGCCCCCACCTAGGAAGACCAACAAAGAGTGACTTGCAGGTTCCCCTCCAGCATGTCCCTCTGAACCCATCTGATAATAAGCAGCACACGACCTGGGATGCTGAGCCCTCCCAGCAGCCTGGTAGCAGCAAACAGCTCAGAACTACCAGCCAGAAAGCAGAATCCATGTGCTTGGGTCATTTCCACAACCGCCATGTCTTCCAGCAACTGTTAATTGAAAAGCAAAAGAAGAAACTTCAGGAACAGCAGAAAACAATTCTGGAGCTGAAGGAAAGCCAGCGGCTAGCAGAGGCTCAGTGGGCTGCAGAGCGAGCTGCAGCAGTCACTGATTCCCAGAGCTGCCTGCTATCGAATCCCAGAAGAAAAGAACCCCAAAGAACCTACCAGATGCTTCCAAAGTATGTCCACTATATCAGAATATTCTTTGGACTTACGATTGGGGTTTTTTCACCTGTGGTAGATAGGCCCCTAAACTTCTTTTGCCCAGCTTCCAGACTCCAAGATCTCTCCCTTTCTTTGAAGTACACAATTCAGAACAAAGCAACCCCCCTACATTGTGACTGATCCGTGACAGGTACTTATAATATTTGAGGCAACTGGCTACCTGTGAGTTATACAGTTAGCATTTGTGTTGTGCTACTTTTGTCCAAGGAGCTCTGTTACTATACCAGTAAAAGAGAACAGTGCTTACTTGCTCTACCTCAATTCTGGGTTTGTGATTATGTGTGGTTCTGAGAAGCCAGGTTGTACAATGTCAGGTACAAATGGAGCAGCCCCTGGGCTGGTTCATTACCTAGCTTAAATCTGCAGTTGTTTTGGATAAAAGTAAACATCTTTGAGGCTGGAATAAGAGTCCAAATTTCTCAGAAGTCACTTACAATGGTTCCAGACGTGTTTGAGACATACTCAGTTCACGTGATAAAGCTAAGAAGTGGGTGATAGATACCTAATGATTTGAAGCCCTGGGGTGGAGTCAGAGCACCTGACTAATTGCACACTCCGGCCAGTCACTCAACTTTTCCATGCCTCGTTACACCAACATATAGAGTGGGTTTAATACATAGTTATCTTAGAGAGTAAAGATTAATTATAATTTGTGAAATGCTTTGAGTTTCTCAGGTTTGAAAGCTTTGAACAAAGCTGGTTATTGGTCTGAATTCTTTTCCTTTTTTTTTTCTTTTTTTTTTTTTACCCCCAGTTCGCCTGTTGCTTCCCCTGAGACTGATGGTAGAGGAGGTGACTCCCCAAATTCTCTCTCTGGACCCAGAAGGAACCCAAGGCAGCAGAAGGCACCCCACCCCATACTAAAAGGCAGGGCGGTCTGAGTGGTGGCCTGGTGGTGGTTATCTTCCTTCCTGAATTAGAATATGCCAGGACTGAATCCTGGTGACTCTTAAGTTTTGAGACTTGGCAGAGCCTGGTCAAAGATGGCTAGGCATGTGAGGAGTGCAATGCACCGGAGAGTTCCATGCATTTTTTTCCTGCCCTCTCTGCCAAACTTTTTGGCCTTCCCAAAGAATACCAAAGGCAGGGGGGTGTTGAAAGGTATATCATTTTGAATTGGTTTGGATTATGAAAAAAAGTGGGACAGTTACACAAAAAAATCTTGAGTAGCTGCTAAGAATAAACATTGATAAAGATCATCTGTCATTATACTTTGTTAACCTTGAATTATTGATCCTTTTACAGCAATCCATATGATTTTATGAGTTGTACCTTGATGATAGGCTTTTAGTTATGAAATCTACAAACCAGACATTTTAATTTAATAACATTTTTGAGGCATGTAGAAATCACTATTTAAACGAAACAATACTATGAGAAGAAAAGCATTCGCCACCTAGTGAATCCACTGATTGTTTTTTCTGTGTACATAGTCATGCGTGTGCATATGTTTGTACTTGGAGGTGGGCACATCGGCAGTTATATTGTAGTTTTAAGTCTGATTTTTCACCTTTGGCAAGATTGCTGCTCTTACAAGAAGTGATGCCATCTGAAGCACACTGTGCCTGAAGTCCATTCATTTTAATGAAGAAATTAGCAGTATTTGTGTTGTCTTTCTGCCAGGACGGCAGTTGATGCCATCTTTGCCTACCACTGAGCATGATCAGGAAATGCCTAGTTTGGTGTGATTATTTTTAAAAAAATGATTGTTTGATCAAGGAGTTAACATATTTTAGAACTCCAGGCTACTTTTCAAGTGGTCTTTAGTGATTAGCTCTAGAAAAGATGGGGAACATGCTTATTACCAGAGTCTGCCTCTCAGGGCTCTCACTTTAATCCTCTATTCTGTTTCTGCCTCTTTAAAGACAGCCTCCTTGCCACCATCTGTGGCACCCCCACTCTTCTTTTTAAAGCAATGCAAACAATATCTGTAAGAAATAGCCTGGTGAGTTTTTTGTTTATTAATTCTTGAAACTTGGACTCAAATCTTCTCTATAACATGGCACAAGGAAGCAAAAGTAACTATTGGCTGACTTAGGTGAGCAGAACCTGATACTCCCCCCCCCCCACTCCCCTCTCCTGTAAAAGTCCCGACTGATGACAGAGTCATATTATCAGACCATCTTGCACATTTGCTTCTTTTGGATCGATATTTAATAGACTGTCAAGAACAGGAGTCTGACACTTGAATTCGTTCAGATGCCAGTTCTCCAAATGCCTAGTACAATTCCATTTCCTGCCCATCTGGATATCTATCCAAGCCTTAAAACTAGATTTTAATGTATTCATCATGACCCTAAACTTTAGTTTGCTAGTTGTTGTTGTTACATATACAAATGTAGGTATAATGACTTAGGAAGAAGAGCAGACTCAATGGGATTTGAGGACTGACTGTACTGTCAAAGTATTTGTTAGATATAGTTAAAGTTTTCTCCATTCATTAAAGGATTACCAATTTAAAATTCTGGTTTCTGGGTTTCAGTAATAAAAGTATCATCAAGGTACACTGTCTTATTTAAACCAGTAAACAGTTATTCTAATAGAAAAGTGAAAACAATTTGCAAATTGTTCATCATTGATGAGGATAGTATTACAGGTCTTTAACCTGTAGGGGGTATATAAATAACATATATGTACTTACATATTTATAAATACAACTACAACTTATATTTTTAAAATATAAATTTTATATTTATAAACAAATAAATGTTTCTGAAATTGTAAACACTCAACTTGCAAGAAAACCCTAATAATAACACGAGATTTTGCTATAAAATGGAGAGACATTTCTTTTGCAGTGCTCCTTATATTTTTGATATTGGAACTCTGTTACTATTTTCTAGCCATGGAAGAGAGAGCAGTTCAGCGAGCTGAACGTAGGCGGATCTTGGCAGAGAGGAAGAAGAAACAAGAAGAGGACAAATTGGTAAATCAAGAATGAAACCTGAGGCAAGAAAAAGGATTTGAATAGGTCTTTATTAAAAAAAAAAAAAAAGAAAGAAAGAAAAGATGAAGCCTAGGGGTGCATGGGTGGCTCAGTCGATTAAGCATCCAACTCTTAATTTTGGCTCAGGTCATGATCTCAGGGTCATGAGATCGCAAGCTCCACATCAGGCTCGCCTGCTTAAGATTTTTTCTCTCTATTCCACCCCCACCACCTCTCCATCCCCCTCTAAAAAAATTAAAAAAAAAAAACTGAAGCTTAGCTTGTTTAATTATCTTGAGACAATCGAGCTAGATTAACCATAAATAGCTTTTTATCCACTGGCCTAAACTCTGAAAATTTTAGGAAAAGAAAGAGAGAAAACAGTAGCACCATTAGCATAGCAAGAAGGAAATGTTATAAAAGTTGATGGGAGCCAGCAATGAGGAAGATTTACATATTTAGATTTAGATGTTCAACCTGGTAAGTTGCAAAGGTGAGTAGTTCTTGCACAGTTTTGACCTAGACTATCAAAAATAGATTTTGTATCTACTAAGAGAAAATAAACAGTTTCAACAGTTTGGGGGTTTTTTGTGTGTGAAATGAAAGAAAAAATTTGTCCTACGCTGTATGGCGTTTGGACTTAGTACTTCACAAGTAAAAATAAGAACTAAAAAGGAATCATTATTTGATGAAAAATTAATGTTCTCTTCTTGTTCTGTATCTCCTTTCCAAGTAGAGAAGAAACTTTTAAGTTCCACAACTGACTTCCTGTTGGTTGGATTTTCTACTTTTATCAGAAAATATGGGCTTCTTTCAGAGACAGGCGGGTACTTTTGGTAGATACTTGACATTCCTCAACATAAAAAATCTTACTTCCATACAAACATAGCATTCTTATTTTTTACAACTCTCCTCTTGACCAGGCCCAGTTAAAGGCCCAAGAGGAGGAGCGTCAGAAGAGGGAAGCAGAAGAAAAGGAGGCTCAGCTTAAGAAAAAACGAGAAGAGAAGAGACTGCAGAAAATGGTTTGTAGAATCTGTTTGGTCAGTCACCTGCTTAAAGTCTATTGTGTACAGTACTGTGACCCTGTGCACCTTCTCCATCCTCACGCTTCCCTCCAGAACATTCTTCTCGCACCTCCACCCTTTCACGCACTGTAGTGAAAACCTCATTCTTCAGATTGTAGCTCAAACATGGCTTCTCCCAGATGAGCCTTTCTTGCCTTGTACACTCTCTTCTCCACCCAAGGTTAGGTTTATGTTCCCCTTTTACCTCTGGAATATATTTCCTTCAAAGCATTACCAGAGCTTATAATTATGCATATGTTTTGTGGTTGTCTTATTGATTTCAACATCTCTAACTAAACTGGAATCTCCTTGAGAGTAAAGGGAGCAGTCTGGTGTTGCTCACTGTTGTATTGGTGAGCAGTGTCCCTGGCATACAATAGCAACTTAGCAAGGGTGTTGAATGAGTGAGTGAATGAATGAACAAGTAAATGAACAAATGGAAGAAAATATACACCCAAGAAATAAGAGATAAAACTCTTACTTTCAAGAGTATTGAATTCTAATTGGAAAGATTAAGGCCTAAATATGCCTGTCAGACAATATAGTACAGCACATGTTGTCTTGTGGCTCAAAGAACAAAGAAGGGGCGCCTGGGTGGTTCAGTCAGTTAAGTGTCCAACTTTTGATCTCAGCTCAGGTCTTAATCTCAGGGTCATGAGTTCAAGCTCTGCATTAGGCTCCATGCTAGGTGATCAAGGAGAGCCATAGAAGGCAAAGGAGATCAAGAGAGCCATAGAAGGCAAGACCTATAAACATTGAGGAAATAGAGACATTTTCATAGAAAAGAGATTCTAATTGGATTGCATTAGGATTCTACAAAGAAACAGAAGAAATAAGTTATATGTGTAGGAAGAGATTTATTATGAGGAATTGGCTCATGTGATTATAGAGGCTGAGAAGTCCCACAGTCTACCATCTGCAAGCCAGAGACCCAGGAAAGCCAGCAATGTAATTCCAGTCCTAGTTTGAATTGATGGTGTAAACTCTAGTTCAAGGGCAGGAGAAGACCAATGACCTGGCTCAAGCAGGCAGCCAGGAAGGAAAAAGGGGCAGATTCCTCCTTTTGGGTTTTTTGGGTGTTTTGGTTTAGCCCATTGGATGATGCCCGCCCACATTTAGGAGGGCAGTCTAACAGACTCCATGGATTCAAATGCTAATCTCATCCCAAAACACATTCGCAGATACACCCATAAATGTTTAATCTAGGCACCCTGTGGCACGTTCAAGTTGGCACATAAAATTAACCATATAAGTCTCCCCCTGATACACTTGGCACCCATACACATCTCCTTAAACCATACTTAATCTCTAAATAAAGACAAGAAGATCATAATTCTGCTTAACATGATACAACTTTCTTGCATACAACCAAAACTGTACTAACCCCTTCCCCAGAAGAGGTCAAGTCCTTGAATGATACTTACTCTTCTCATTGATATCCCATAACTTAACTACTATGATATAAAATTAAAAATACTTAAACACAATGATAGAAATTCAATACATCTTATATTATGATTCATTGTAGAATATTTGAGAACTACAAAAAAATGGAAAACTATGAGCTCAGCTTTAAGAGGTAACTAAATATCCTAGTATATTTACTTTGTTTTCTCTAAGCCTCTTTCTCTTAATAGATTGATAATTTGGGGGTGGGGGGAAGGTGTATATAGTTTTTAATCTGCTTTTTTGCAATTAAGAATCTCTTATGAATATTTTCATTTACCATTCAGAATTCTTCAACGTTTTTATTTATATGTTGACAGTAAATTTTTTTCAATTTTTATGTAAATTCCAGCTAACATACAGTTTGATATTAGTTTCAGGTGTAGAATGTAGCGATTCATCACTTACATACAACACCTGGTGCTCATCGCAACAAGTGCCCTCCTTAATACTCACTATTTTTTAAAAATAAACTTTTTGGGGCGCCTGGGTGGCTCAGTGGATTAAGGCCTCTGCCTTCTGCTTAGGTCATGATCCCGGGGTCCTGGGATCGAGCCCTGCATCAGGTTCTCTGCTCAGCAAGGAGCCTGCTTCCCTTCCTCTCTCTCTGCCTGCTTCTCTGCCTACTTGTGATCTCTGTCAAATAAATAAATAAAAATCTTTAAAAAAAATAATAAACTCTTTACTTTGGTTTACTTTAGGTTTATAAAAAGTTGCAAAGGTAGTACTGGGAGCTTTTGTATACCCTTCACTCAATTTCAGTTTCTCCTTGACATTATCACCTTACATTACCATAGTGCATTTGTCAAAACGAAGAAACTAACATTAGTACATTATTATTAAGACCAGACTTTATTCACATTTAACCAGTGTTTCCAGTTTTTCTGACTTCTCATCGTGTCTTTTCTGTTCTTTTACCCTTAACGTATATTCCTTTGCGACTACCACCTGCCTTTGATGGCTGTACCTTTATAGTAGATATTGAAATTGGACAGTGTGAATTCTTCCACTTTATTCTTCTGTTTCAGAATTACTTCGTTATTCTTTGCCTTTTTATATAAGTTTTAGACTAATTTATCGATGTGTACAAAAAAAATCTTGCTTAGATTTTGATTGGGATCATATTGAATCTATAGTTCAAATTAGAGAATTGACATCTTAACAACACTGAGTCTTTAATCTATGAGCATGGTATAGCTCCCCATTTATTTAGATCTTTGTTTCATGAGTGTTTTATAGCTTTTCGCATACCTTGTATATGATTAGTAGATTTGTACCTACATCTTTTTTGGTGCTCTGATAAATGATGCTTTTTTTTTTTTATTTCAAATTCAGTTTTTTCATTGCTGGTATATAGGAACACAGTTCATTTTTGTATGTTGACCTTGTATCCTGCAACCTTGCTAAAACTCACTTATTAGTTCTAGGCGGGGGTTTTTTGGTTTTTGTTTTTTGTAGATTCTTTGGCATTTTCTACAAGTTGTCTGCCAATAAAGGCAGTTTTATTTCTTCCTTTCTGATTTGTATGCCTTTTATTTGTCTTGCCTTATTGAACTAGCTAGGAGCAATTCCAGTGCAAGATTGAATATGATTAGTGAGATACACTTGTTCTTATTCCTTGCCTTGTTCCAGATCTCAGGGGGAAGATTCAGTCTCTCATCTTTACTGTCATATATGTCATGTATTTTATTTTATATGTATTATAAATACCCAGTACCTTCTTACTTTTATTGCTTTAAACAATTTGTGTTTTAGTGTGCCTAAAAATAAGCTGGGGGCACTTGGGTGGCTCATTCAGTTAAGCATCCAGCTCTTGATTTTGGCTCAGGTCATGATCTCAGAATAATGAAATAGAGCCCTGTGTTGGGCTCTGTGCTGGGTGTGGAGCCTGCTTAAGATTCTCTCTCCCCCTTTCCCTCTTCCCCTCCCCCACCCCACTCACATGTGTGCTCTGTCTCCCAAATAAGTCTTTAAAAAAATAAGCTGAAGATTATAGTTGTTCATTTCTTTCATTTCTGATGCTATTTATTTCTTTGTGTAGATCTAAGATTTTAACTCTATCATATTCCCTCGGCCTGAAAAATCACCTTAAACATTTCCTGTAGGATAGGTCTGCTGGTAGTGAATTCTCTTAGTTTTCATTTGTCTGAAAAAGTTTTTGTTTCTTCCTCACTTTTTTTTCTTTTTTTTTTAAGAGAAAGAGAGCACATGAGCAGGGCAGGGAGGGGCAGGGAGAGATGGGGATAGAGAACCGACTTAACCAACTGAGCTAGCTACCCAGGTGCCACTCTCCCTCACTTTTGAAGGTATTTTCACTGGATATAGAATTCTGGGTTGATAATTTTTCTTTCAACACTTCACCTATGTCATTCTGTTGTCTTCTGCTTACCTGGTTTCTGACAAGTTTGCTGTCATTCTTATCTTTGTTCCTTTATTGCAGATGTCTTAATCTGCTTGGGTTGCCAGTTCTGTAGATTGGCCAAGACCAGGGTGCCAGCATGGTTGGTTTCTGGTGAAGGCTCTAGTCCTGGCTTATAGATGGCCACCTTCTCATTGTGTCCTCCCATGACCTTTCCTAGTGAGAAGAGGAGTACATGAGCTCTCTGGTGAGTTAAAAGGATACTAATCTCACCCTTAGAACCTCATTTTACCTTCATTACTTCCTTAGAGGCCTCATGTCCAAATAAAACCAGACTGATTGTTAGAGAACTTCAACGTATGAATCCAGAGGGGGTTATAAACATTCTGTCTATAGCAGTAGGTAAGGTGGATTCTTTTCCTCCAACTGCCTTCAAGATTTTTTTCTATCTTTGGTTTTCAGCAATTTGAATATAGTATGCCCAAATGTGATTTATTTGTTGTTGGTTTTTTTTCCCTGCCTCTTTTTTCCCTGGTCTCTGTTTCTTCGATATGTGGCTTTGTATCTGTCAGTAATTTTGGAATATGTTTACCCATTATTCTTCAGATATTTCACCTGTCCCTTTCATTTTCTTCCCCTTCTGGGATTCCAGTTTGCAATGCTTGCCTTACATTGATACTGTCCCACAGCTTTTGGATGTTCTATTGTGTTTTTCATTCTTTTTTCTCTTTACCTTTCAGTTTGTGTATTTCTACTAATTTCAGGTTATCTGATTCTTTCCTTGAATATGTCAAGTCTAGTGATGAGCCCTTTGAAGGCTCTCTTCATTTCTGTTACCATGGTTTTTTTTTTTATTTTCTAGCATTTTCATTTGACTGTTTATTATAGTTTCCATATCTCTCTTAAAATTACATATCTGATCTTGAATGATGACTACCTTGCCCATTAGAGCCTTTAATGTTATTATAAGTTATTTAAAAATTAAAATTCCCTCTCTGGTAGTTCCAAAATCTCTGTCATATCTGAGTGTTGTTCTAAAGATTGATTCTCTTAGACTGTATTTATTGCTTATCTTTTGGTATGTCTTCATCATTGTTGTCATTGTTGTTGTTGAAAGCCAGGCTTGTTGTAGAGAGCAGTAGAAACTGAGATA